CGACAGGGCTTTTTGGTGATAATAAGAAATCTACGAGGTAGGTCACGCCTTTAATAATGAGAAAATAACGAGCTAAGGCTCGCCTTCGATAATAAGAAACAAACACGAGCTAAAACTTGCCTTCATTAATAAGAAAGTATTAGCTAAGTCGAACATATCTTCACAAAAACCTGATTGCATTCTTGGAGTAATTGAATATGTGTATCCGTAAAAATTAGGATCAACAATTCTAAATATTAATAGATTCTTCAAAGTAAAATTGATCTCCAAAGATGGCAAGAAAGTCATACTCCAAATCATGCCACGGCATTAAGTCTGCAGAATATAGTTACTCACACAGAAAGGGCTAATGGATGTTAACTTGCTGCCATACCCTTTTTGCAAGTTAATGAGAATAAGATTTGCATGTAGAAACCATCCTTAGAGTGGATACCTTTATGTGATATGGATAATAGGAATTAATGGTAGAGCAAATAGGAGCAGCTGGCCAAATCAACGTCAATTGGTTGTTAATCAACTCATGGACAACAAATTTAGAAGTGGGAATAAATTGAAGTGACCAAATAAGTAATCCAGGCAAGTGCTACAAAAGAACCAAGGGAAATTAAATCACAGGCCCAAATCTGCTTAAACCATAATTCCTTTTTTTTTTATCCATTTTTCGTCTAAGGCCCAAGTATCTAAAGAAGATCCAAGAAATTAGTGGCTGACCCGCCCCCACAAATTGACGGAAAGAGGCATGGGAAAAAATCATAGTTGCATATGAAATATAAACTATTTCAAGGAATACTACAAAAATATTGAAATACATAATATACTATATACTCCACAAAACATTATCAAATCTACTGATTGGCAAACTTTCCTTAATTAACACATTATAACTGGAATTCTTGAATATCAGAATATGCTTATATCACGCAAAGCAATAACTCTTGTGTTGCCTATATGGGTTTCAGAAATTGAATTGGGTTTCCCCCTCATATAATTTCTTGTGTTTACGTCTCGTCCACGTAAATTGTTACGATATAAATTGCATTCATAATATTTTCGCATCTAAATATCTAATATTTCATACCTTTGTGTTTGGATGCAGGAGATGGAACGCGTTCATGACGTTTGGACTTCTCGTACAAATCACCCGCAAATACCTGGATGTGGTGGTGTTGCCCGTCTGCTGATGGCAACTGCTTGTGAATCCGAAAGATCAATAGCGTGTAGTGGAGTTGAGGTTGCAGCACCTTGCAACCAGTTAGGTTTTGATTCTGAAATCTGCCACAATGGAAGATTCTCTTGTAGTAGCCATAGGATAAAGTCATAAAACCCTGAGCAAGTTAAAGGAGCAGAGGCCCGAAAACGTTGATGCTGTCCACTGTCACGCGACGAAGGCCCTTGAGAGCTACCGCTATCTCTTTCACGTTTTTATATTTTTAGCAAATCCTCCACCCTCAATCAATCTGTTAGAGGCTGTCTTGCCTCTTCGTTTCAGAGAGAACTCAAGGTATACATGTTATGAAATTGGTGGTATGCAATTACTTTAGGATGTTTGCCCTTTCTCTCTCTCTCTCTCTTTTATTCTTCATGCTCGGTTATCTCGATGGCGGTTACCGGTCCGGGTTTTGGCCTAAAAACTTTGTCAAACAGATTGCTAGCAAAAATAGCGTTTCGTTGGTTAACAATTTTAACCTAAAGGTAGCATCTAGGGGGCTGAATTTCGAGCTGGGAATACCATCGAACACCTGGAGTGCGTTTCAATATATATATATACAAATATTGCTTCTAGCTCACCCAAAATATATGCAACCCTAAAATTTCCAGGAAAATCGAAAGTTGTCGCTCATATAAGCAACCGAGAGTTCGAGGTTGAAGTTCGAACGGTATGATGCCACCCTGTTGCTATCGTCAAAGTTGATTGCTATGTTGATAGCTCAAGATGCCACCACTTTGATGGCTATAGTCGGGGGCTAAGGCGGCTGCAGATGCCTCCATATTCTTGAGCGATGTCTACAGCGGCTTCGATAGCAGACGGCGAAGACAACTCCTATACATTTTGGCAGAAGGAGGAGCTTGGGTCTTCGCACGGCAGCTCCTCTCTGAGTGCCAATCACGGAAATTATTTGACCTTTTCCCAAAATTTGGCTTTATTATATCCAACAGCTTTCCCATACGTGTAAGTCCCAATTGTAATATATGAATTCATTGGATTTGATTTATTAAAATCCAGGAACTTGGTCAACAAAGATGAGCTGCTTCATGGATCAATTTTTTGAGCATTTTTTTTTTAACATATCTCTTTTTCACGATCCGTCAGAGACCAGCCACATTCTTCTCATTTTTTGGAATTTTTTCGATAGATCTTTCTCTGGGCAATATTTT